CTCGTGGCACGGTTAGAAACTATCGATAGCCCAAATTACATATTTCAAGCATTGTGAAAAACATTGGGGTATAAACGTGCTATTTGCAGGCCCAAGTCTCAGCAGCTGTACTGTCCGCATCTTGCGAGACAGGAAGGATCTTGCGGGACTGCACTGCCGAAATGAACATCACCGGAAGGGTGGCAGCTTCCCTGGTCATGGAGGAACCGCTGCAGTTGAACCCTTTCGACGCTGCCTCCCCCTCCTGCAGCATTGAGGTGCCACACGACTGTGTATCTCCTGCTCACAGCAGCGTGGCAGAGTCTGATGCAACATACTCTCCATCCCGCACTGCCGAAGGTTTCAAGAGGTAAGCTATGCGTATGTATGCCTAGAATTTGTGAAAAACGCTTTACATAATCCCATTCCAGTGACGGACAAACTGCGTCAAGTCCACCAGCACCAGAAAAAGAACGCCAGTTCCTGGTCTTTGAGAGCTGCCTGCGAGAACTCTTCAGGACATGCCAGGAGTGCTCAAGACCCTGCCAAAATGACATCACAAGCCAGGGTACGCTCATCACAGTGGTCAGCATCTGCCCTCTCGAGCACGTGCGGAAGTGGAGCAGCCAACCCATCATCAATGGAAGAGGCGCAGGAAACATTCTGTTGACAAGCCACCAGGTCTTCTCTGGAGCCCAAGTGACGAACACACTTCGGATGCTCCGCCACATGAACGTCGAGGTGATGAGCGATCAGATGTACAACACCTACCAGAACGCCCTCCTGTTCCCTGCAGTGGACAAGGTGAGAAACATTCTGAAGGAACTACATTATAGTATTTTTATACTCCCAAATCAAGCCCATTACCAGGTGTAGCATCCTTCCTGTGAAACATTCAACAAACATTCTCTACATTTTCAGTGCTGACAAGTGGGCAGAGGCTTGTGCTTATACATCGTCGCATGATAGATCCAGGAAGCATGTGCTTGTGTCGTCTGCTTGTTGCACCAATAAGGAAATGCCGCCACAAGCGCCACTGTCAGGGAACTTGGTTGACGGCTTTTGCACTAAATGTAAAGAATGTGTTTCTTACTTTTCACAGAAAGAGAGCTATGTCTTGAAATTTCTAGAGGTAAAATTCGCCACTAAAAACGGCTTTGGTAGTAATTCGAGCTCATTACGTGAAGAAACAAAATTTTCAGGCTGATTTCTGAGCGAGGCTTTGGATTCATAATTCTATAGAAGGTGTTTGTTTCTAGATGCACCAAATTATAAAAAAGAGAGCTAGGATTCTTTTTACCCTGGGGCTAAAGTGGGGGCCATGGACGCCACCATAAATGAAGTGAAATGGGTTAGTAAGTTATTTGACTAAAACACTCAAACAAACTTTTATTTTTTATATTTATGAGTTCTGGGGGCGACAAAAGTCCTTGCACACACTTCAAACCGAAACTAAGAGGGCAAATATCACCTGTGTTGCCTGCAGAGCGGATGTGTGAGTCTGCCATGGCAACCATGTTCACTTCCAGGGCCGGTGGGGGGTGGAGAGATTGTTATCATGGGCACTCTTTGCCCGCTTAGTTTTGAAGTACTGCATGAGGACGACTTTTGTTTTACCATAACAACCACTACAAATTTGTAGTGAAAATGTATGTCACGGGTGTACTCTGATGTAGAGCATCAATTCTCCAAATACATTATGCCCTCAAAAATAAAACCTAAATAAGTTAATTAGAATGTTTCTTTATTAGCTGACTAATTAACCCATTTCAAGTCTTCTTGTGGTGCCCATGGTCCCCAAATGTAGCTTCAAGGTTAAAGAAACCCTAACATTTTTTTTGTGGTGCAGCAAGTGAACTAATTAATTTTATTTTTTCCTATGCATACTGTGAAATAATAAATTATGTCAGCGGATTTTTACAATTTCTAATGCAACATTAATTTCCATGAATAGATATGGCTACAAGAACAAGAAGAGCTGATCAGTCAGCTGGACAGTCAAGAAGTTGATATTACTGCCGATGGACGGTTCGATTCTCCTGGGTTTTCTGCAAAGTACCTCACATACTCGGCTCACGTCCAACAGATCAACAAGATTCTCCAGTCTGTGCAGGTTCAGCTAGGAGAGGTGAGTGGTTCATGCAGTAAAACAACCACAACGGTTTTATGATTCTTTATGTACACTTTTATAATTTAGTATAATTTGGTGACTTCACTGTCATGCGCAATTCAAATGATTTGTGTCTCACTTCTGTTCTTAGAGCGAGCAATGGCCAGTGTCAACATGGAAAAGGAAGGCCTCATCAAGCAGTTGTAATTTTTGAAGGAGAAATGTATGTTCATATTTTCTTCGACATTCATAGTGATTCCATACTGTTCAACGTTGTATACTCAATAATTATTTTGTACTACGAAATTCAATGGCACAGGTATCCACATCCGATCCTTGGGGACTGATCGCCACCCTGCCATACGGAAGCACATGGAGACCCAGGAGCCCGGAATTGCCCACTACTTCGACATTTGCCACATCTCCAAAAGTAAGCAATTGTCAAAGCCTATTCATGTAGGTGACATTTTCTAGTGAAGCTGCTGCAGGATTTTATTAAATTGCTTTTTAATGTTTAGGTGTGAAGAAAAAGATGGCGGCAGCAAGCAAACGAGCCGGCTGCCAAGAACTTCAAATGTGGGTGCAGGCGACCACCAACCACCTCTACTATTCGGCCAAGGCTGGGGCGGGCGACAGGAAACTGACCGTCGACGTGTGGCTCAGTCTCCAGAACCATGCCATCAACGAACACACGGGCCATGGCGGGAGCTATCCCAGGTGTCTGCACAACGAGATACAAAAAAGCACCAGAAAGTGGATGGATTCTAGTAGGTTTTTGTTCTCCCAACTGAGGGTGCTCATTCTAAACCATGTCCTATCTGCAGACTCCCAGGCCTATGACCACCTAAAAAAAATCACTGGGGACAAGCGGCTCCTGAAGGACGTCGGCCAGATGTCTCCCCATGGCCAGACGTACGCCCTTGAGGCGTTCCACAGCGTCCTCATAAATTTCGCCCCAAAGTCCCAGGCATTTTCTCCGGCTGGCATGCTTGCAAGGTAATTACAGAAATATATTTTGTCTGGAAGTCAGGTGCAGTGATGTCTCGTTGATATTCGCATGCCCATACCCCCCAAAAATCGTTCATGGTGAGAGTTTTCCATAATAATGACAAATGCAAGTAATTGCCCAATTCATACCAGAAAATGCTGTCTATATAGTAGCGTATCCAATCAGGGTTCTCCTTAGAGTGGGTAGCAGTGGTTACGCTGCCCGCCCGTCGAGCAGACCGCCCTTCTCTATGATGTATCATCCATCTCAATATTTTACCAACGCTGGACGAGATGTCACCGATCTATCAAATACACAATGCCCCCCATCGTCATATTTGTGAGGTGGCCATCGCACAAGGCATAAATAAAAATCTCAGCAAAAGACAATAAAATCAACAAAAAAACATTGCTACATTGGTGAAAAAGGACCAAAGGTTATTACACAAATCAAACATGCCCCCTCCCCCCTCCCCGAAAAATTGTCAGATGACCACATCTCAAATATTTCTCGGAAAACTCTGGTACCCATATTAACGGTGTCGAAATTTACAAAACATTACAGCATCTGAATTACCAAGAAGTTGATAAGATCCAAATTTACAAAACATAACAGCATCCGAATTACCAAGGAGTTGGTTTGCCATTGTTTTGCACAATGGCAAAACTTTTCGAGATTGGTCCTTTTCAAAATCCTTTGGTTTTACAACATTGCGGCCTATATGCATGTTTCTTTTTCCAAGAAAAAATATTCAGCACAGGGGTTATGTGTCCTTTTAAATTTGTTATAAGAAGTACTGCAACTGACTGCCGCTTGCACATATATCTCTATCATGATGCGTATGTTCAGGCTTATCAATGCCGTTTTGGCGCAAGTACAAATATCTAAGGGGGGACTTCTACCAGGCTGCGATTTATATACAAACATTTTTGTAAAACCATTCAATGATGCGGGGTGGGCTGCTTGTAGGCCAAAATGTACAGTGCTTCTTGGTGGCACATTTCATTCTCACTGAAATATCACCATCCTGCAGGACACGACTTGCAATCTTGCATTACAACGAAAACTCGGACCGCTGCCAAGCTGTGACGCAACAGGGCGATCCATGTTTCACGGTGACCACATCAAAGGCACGGAAGGGACGCGCCACAGCACGTGAAAAGAAAACGGATCCAACTTATGGTAAGTGTGGCTCCTAATCCAGGCAGAAGCTTTGCTCAGTGCATATTGGAATGTTATCATGCGTATGCTTCAATTTCAGAGTACGTTGGAAAGCTAGTCCGGGAGGTGATGGCCAGCAACGAGCAGTGCACGTCCCTTGATGAGGCAGCAATAGCCAAGAAACGCATCTTTCCGGCACCCATGAATGCCGCCTTCACGAGGCCTTCCAAAAGGGAACTCGTGGAGGCAAGGAGGTCCCGGTTCGGCCAAGTTACCCCGTGAGGGACCTCCTCAAATCCCTCCTGTCACCCGTGCATTCAATGGTAAGTTTCCAAGGCCCCTTCGCCTGCCAGGTGAAGCCAAGTTCCAGGCTGAGACAACACGTTTCCCTTTGCAGGACACCTGCCTCGGCCAAGCGGGCGTTAGGAGGCATTGTTAACACATCGAAGGCACGGAAGGGACATGCCACAGCACGAGAAAAGAGAACGGATCCAACGTATGGTAAGTGTGGCTCCAAATCCAGGCTGAAGCTTTGCTCCGTGCGTTTTGGAATGTTATCATGCATATGCTTCAATTTCAGAGTACGTCGGAAAGCTAGTCCAGGAGGCGATGGCCAGTAACGAGCAGTGCACGTCCCTCGATGAGGCAGCAATAGCCAAGAAACGCATATTTCCGGCACGCATGAATGCCGCCTTCACGATGCCTTCGTGGAGGCAAGGAGGTCCCGGTTCGGCCAAGTTACCCCATGAGGGACCCCCTCAAATCCCTCCTGTCACCCATGCACTCAATGGTAAGTTTCCAAGGCCCCTTCACCTGCCAGGTGAAGCCAAGTTCCAGGCTGAGATAACACGTTTCGTTTCGCAGGACACCTGCCTCGGCCAAGCGAACACGCACGGAAGGGGGGATCTTGCAGACCCGCTCCTTATCCTGTTACGAGAGCCCGACCTGCAGTAATGAGAACGTCAGTTGTAACTGCAGTAATTTGTCAAAGATGATGAGATCCATTGTGATAATGAAGTTTCGATTCCAGGATCATCGACCAGCCGATAAAGCAACACGAAGGCTCAAGTTCTGGGAGCTGCCATGTAGTCAGATGTGCCAAACCTGCCAGGGGAACTTTGATACCGTGAACCATAACAGAAAAAGCCAGTGCTGCAGCTTTTTCTTTATTATGTACTATTTGCAAATAGGTTAAAACAGTGCAGATCATCGTGACCCTAATAATTTTGCCCTACATGGCACTAATTACTGCATTGTTTCATCAATAACACAAAGGAAGTAGTGACCAGTAAACTCTTGCAATTTTATACAGCTCTTTACAAGGGATCCTAGTCTAAATTCACAAGCTTAGTATGCTGTCAATGTTTTCCTAATTGCGGTACTGAAACCCCAAGCACTATAAGCAATATGGCTCACAAATTCGTCTGCTCTTTGCTACGTTTGATCACTTCCTGCATGCGACCATAGGCTTTTGTACTCTCCCAATGGCAGCATGGGCTTGGCTGCTTCATTGTTGCGCGTTCTTTGTGCTATCTTTTTGTCGCCGTTAATTGGTCTGACCCTTGTATTCTAATGCACCAAAACAAGTTTAGAAACACTCACTGTCATCACATTTTTCCATGTCCCCCAAACGTAATACAGTATTGACTTTTCTTTTCATGTGCTCCCACGCTGACATCCTGAAGAGGCTGCGCCTTGGCAAAGCAGCTGTCCCGTTAGTTTCTAATAAATGGGGTTTTCATCCAGGAGGTAGACTGGAACTGTAAAAATTAAATTTGGGCAACTGTGCATGACAGCACAAGGACACCTAACCTCAACACCATTCATACTTGGAAAGGGAAAAACTGTTTCCAGTCTACACCACGGTCCCCCCCCCCCAATCTGCTACACTGTCTCCTTTCAATCATTGACTTGTTCGCAAAGCAACCTATTGTATTGACACACCTTGCTAATTGATGCTCTGACTTGTTTTATCACGACCTTTTGCATGATTATCCAAGCTCCAAGGAGCATGCTGAAAGTGCAGTTACACACAGTGGCATCTGCAACAGTTGCAAACGCCAACACATGCACACTCAACACTTGGCTACCCCCCCACCTCTCCCCTTTGTGTGTTAGCAAAAGATCCAATTTTAGCTGAAAAGAATGTCAAGTAAAGATGCCTTTTTTCTGGGTAACTTGTATGTGCATTGCAGGAATAAGAGCAAGAATTCCTATTTAGTGTTCGAGTCTTCCTAGCCAATTTGGCTCCGAGAACACAGCACTTGGCTAGGCTTTACATGAAAACAATCTGTCCATGCTCGTGTTCTCCAGTCTTTCCCTTCGTCTGTATCTAGTGGCATTTTTCCAAAAATAATGTGTTATTCACAAAATCCGTCAAGTCGGTAAAAAAAATTATCTTGAAAAAACGTGCTTTTTCTCAAAGGTTATGGGAAACTCTCAAAGTGCCTTGGATTCGCCTCAATGGCTCGTAGCATCCACAGCAGTCGGTTGTTAGGTGACACGGAGTATAGCAGTAAGTGCTCAAAGGCGCCAAGAAGATGGCAGCCAATGAAAACTCCCAATGTTCTCGCTGAAACATGAAAATCGATAATGACATTGAACTGGACAAAAATAAGTTGTCATCTTTTTCTTACGCCTAACATTACATTTGGGCGAAGAACGACTGCTGGGCAATGCATTGTTTAGCGCTTTTATTTTTTTAAAGGGAGGGGTACCGAAACCCGGAGTAGGTGTCGCTGGCAAAGTGACCTCTAATTGCCTTGACCATGCAGGAGGGCAGTGGTCGCCTGTTCTTCTGTCCAAGTCTCCGCCACAGCCAAAGCACACACTGCCTATAGGCAGCGAACCGGAAGCGCCTGAAACAATGTCCACATTTATTGAATGTAAGGAACACCCACCAGCCATACACCTGAGGCAATGACCAGACTAATCAGATGTAATAAGCAATACTCGCTACTCTGAAATCTACACCTCTCTTGAGATTGTTTCCCCGGAAAAAACATCATATATTATGGTTCTCTTTTATGTTTCCTTTCGCTGTGCATGTGATGTATTTGCAAACAAACAAATGATCGGCACAACTAACAATACACCAACTCATGTTTATAAACAAACTGGAGCGCCCCTAGCAGACGCCACCGGCGCCGCGCATGCACAATGGAGTGTGGGCAAGAAGCTCGCCTTTGCCCATAAACAAACCATTGAAATGCGATGTTGCCGGCGTCTGTGTGACTCCCCTTGTATTTTTTTGCGTTTGAATAGTTGACTACGTTTTCCTTGCAATGTCTGACTACTTGAGCAGCCTCAAGAACCGACGAGAGACAGTAGTCCAACTCTGACTCCATGTCAGTCTATAAAGCCACGTAACATCTATTCTCCCGGCAGCCAGAAGAATAATTTGCCCGAAATTCAACCGGCAGTTGACTGCCATTGGACCATTGACTGTCGCCAAGGGAAAGCGGAGGCGAAGAGGGGGGGTTTAACACTGGCCCGAGGGATACACGCGCGATGAAGTGTCCCTACAGCGTGCAATTCGCGTAACGAGCGTCGATGAAACGTCAGCGTCGACAATACGTGTCCAGGAAAAGTTGTCCATGAAACGTGTTTCCATGAGATGCTGGAAGAACAAGAAAATCAGCATTCTACCGGCAGTTGTATGATTTCAGACAACCAATGGGAGGCGATCGTTGGTAGAATTTCGAAAAATTATTCTCCCAGCTGCCGGGAGAATAGACGCTGTCATAAAGCTAGCCGTCCTTATCCTTGGCCCGCGGCTTGGGAGGCATGGGCATGGAACCAAAAACGCACGGCAAACAAGAAAAAAGCAGACACGCGAAGCAAAAAACATTCAAAAGCAGTTGAACGCTAATGATGATTTCTATTCAAAGCTATCACGCCGCTTCAATGCGTACGCAAGAAAAACGGGGGCCGAGCCAGAACAGCAAGTTTCGCGACCGGTAACACGAAGTTGTACTCACTCGTTCGAGGTTGCCCCCATGTTTCTTTCACCATAGTGGCGCATGTTCAACAAGGCCAGCTGTAGCACACCCGGATCGAGGCACAGCCCCTCGAAATCCGGGTGGCTTGTCACGCAGCTCTGCCGGCCCTGCTGCTTGCGAACGGCGGCCGGGTAGTCACGGCAGCAGACACACTCTGCGACGGTTTCCATCGGCACGCAGCAACTGCATTGGCACCTTAAAACAGAAAACCAGCATCAGCTATACATATGAGAGGTATAATAAACAGCTCATCACCTACCAGTTGGTGTTCCCAAGCCGCTGGGTTGCGTCGTCGGGTTCCTCGTCTTCCTCCGGTGTCAACATTCAGCATCGCGAACTGTCGTCCGAGTCCGTCGCGTTCGAGGCATCGGCGTCGCGCGTAGGAGTGGCGTCGTAGGAGATTGAGCTGATATCTGCCGTCCGCCGAAGAATTTCCACCTCCAACGGTGTTAGATTTGGCAGGTCCATCTCCGCACGACGCAAGACCCGAAGTAAACAAAATGAGTCCCAACGAGAATCCATCAAATACGCGCACATTCGGAAGATCACTCCGCCGGTTCGATGGATCAATCCGCCGGGAAGCCGTCACTCGTGATTGGATGGCGCACGCCCTTCCCTGCTGCCTTCCCGTCCGACAGCGCCCCTGACGGCGTGCGCCTAGGCGCAGAACAGCGATCTTTGATTGGATTTTTAATAGGGAAATCGGCCGCCCTTGAATGTAATTTTGGGATTTCTAGGATGCTTAGAGCCCGCAGATTGAGTTATGACAATAAATAGACGATCTCAGAATCCACTTGAGTGCCTCTTTAAGAGGCATACATTGCCGCGATTTGTATTAATAATAATAATACTAAAATTGACATATTTGAATAAGTAATTCTTCAAGCTCTAATATAATTTGTTGCTTATGATCTAATTGTAAACGAGCGAAGAAATATGACAATGAAAACTGTGCTAATTATCATCACTGGTTCCAATTGCTGCATTTTAGTTACAAATAAAATAAAAATAGACTAAACTCAATGAAAACATTCTAGCTAACGTAAGAAATCCATGTAAAATTACATTAATTGTGGGTAAAGTATATTGTGCTATCAAAGTCGCGACTTTTGACAATCGGCGAAACGTCCAAAGTCGCCACCAATATACTTCCGGACCAAATGTCCAAAAGTTTAAAAAAAAAGCTTTTTTTAATTACTAGTTTTTTCGTAACATTTATTTACTTTTGTATTTGCTCGCCGTCGTTTTGCCAATCTCAGCCTTTCCAGTTCGAAGGAACGCCTACCTGCTTGCACGTCTGCTCACTGCAGCACGTTTCGTTGGCGTTGGAAGCCGGTGAAACAGTAGTGAGTTTTAATATTGCGTATACGAGCGAACTCAAGCCCTGTGTGTTTGCGTTAGCTTTGCGCGTTCCACACTGCGCGTGCGCGGAGCCTGAAATCGCGGTCTTCGATGGCGCATGGCGATGAGGCGCACGCACAACGTGGGGCACGCAACTCTAACGCAAACGCACACCGCTTGCGCTTGCTTCTATGCGCAATACTAAAACTCTCCAGTAAGGTACAATCCCATACCGGCTGCAGCGCTACATTGGGGCAGTGAAGAGTGTTGTTTGCATTCGGGAACGACATTTCGCGAGCAGTTCCGCCATGCCCACTCAGCAGGAGAATCGGGGGACCCTCACTAGAGCGCTTCCCGTTTCCGCCGTGGGAGGGCGAGCGTCGAGCTGGAGTCGCGAATACCGAAACGTCCTGCACTGAAATGTCCGGATCCCAACGAGCTGGTTTCAATTGCACACTACTGAAACCCCGAGACTGCACGTAAAAAACAGCACAGACGCTAGTGGTTTAAGTGTCGGCCCTTTACCTGCGGTGTCATGGTTTTAGTCACGTACACGAGTAAGCTTTTCAGTAAGTCGCATATCAATTTTTTTTTAATTTTTTTATACCTATTATTTTTATTTCTAGTAATTTGACTACACCTTCAAAACAAATTCACAGGTGACTACCTCAGTCTTAACCAATGCAAGGTAAAACATCTATAAAGTACTGTTATTCCCCAAAACTCGGTACAGAGAAATTCGATGAAACGGCCCATAGCGATGCGATGAAACGGCGTACGATAGAATGGCGTTCGATGAA